ATAACTCCTTCATTTATATAGCTAGGAACATGAAATTCCGCACTATTTTCAATAAATATGAACAGAAAACTTACAGTGAAAATTAAAAAGATCGGGTAACTATAACCTATAGCTCCCATACAACTGATTGTTCAGATATGAGATTTTTCGTTATAATTCATCCATTTATGTAGCTAGTACCATGAAATTTCGCGCTGTTTTCACTCATTATCAACAGAAGACTTACAGCGAAAATAACAAAGATCGGGTCACTATAACCTGCAGACCCCATACAACTGATTGTTCAGATATGAGGTCTTTTATCATAACTCCTCCATTTATGCAGCTAGGAACATGAAACTTCGCACCATTTTCTCTCATTATTAACAGAATACTTACAGTGAAAATAACAAGGATCGGATGACTACAACATATATCTTCCATACATCTGATTGTTCAGATATGGGATTTTACTGTAAAACTTCTTTATTTGAACAGCTAAAACCGATAAATTTCGTAAGATATTTTATAAATAATAATACAAAGTCTACTGAGAAAATCATCAAAATCTATGCTGTATAAGCTTTATCTCCTATAGCACTGATTGTTCAGATACCAGTTTTTGCCATATATCTCCTTTATGTAGGAAACTAAACCCAATAAATTGTGTTACCGGTTTACATACCGATCACATAGCAGTGAAAATCACTTATTTTGGTGCCATATAAAGTATATCTTCCATACCTCTGATTTTTTAGATGCGATTTTTTATATAAGTATGTAACTCCTCTATCAATGTATGCACATGTATTCAAAAGCAGTAATCTGTCAAAGTAAAATTTGCAGATGTTCATGAAAGGTATGAAGCCTTCGGCATAGCCGAAGACAGCGCTGCTCTTACTTGTTTAAAAATCGGGTTGTAATTTTTTTGTTTTAAATATTTTTTTTTTTATAAAAAACGGCATTTTTGCTTTTAAGTGTTTTTTCTCAAATTTTTATATATGAAGTACAGTAAAACCCGCTTAAGTACCTCACGAAAAATGTCAGCTTTTTGAGGTACTTAGGCGGGTTGGGTACTTAAAAGAACCCGCTTAAGTACCTCGATGCGGGTACTTAAGCGAACATAATTATTGATGTAGTTACATCTTTTTGGTAACTTAAAAAAAAAAGTTGGCAACCCTTGTGTGTGAAGTACGTAAAGTTTCTCATTCCGCTTTGCTGTTTAAATATATAAGCTTTAAGTGAATAATAAATCACGATTGTACGTGTTATCTTCTACATAAGTGCTAAACATCATTGTTCGTCTCCTGTTCCGACAGCTCTAAGCATCGAAATTGTAAAGTAAGTCAGGTGCTCCACAAAATTGTTTTGTTCTTGTTGAATGCGAAAGAGGCGAAGTACCTAATCAACAACAACTCCTATACGTCTACCGCTATTCGCCACAAGCTTTTCTCCGAGTTGTTTGGTTTGTGTCATCAATACCTACAATAGCGCCACCTGTGGTAAACTTTGTGCAAATCACAACTTCGTGTCGTAAACTGTGCTGCCACCTCTTTCTTTTCTATAATCCCACTAAAATGGCTGGAGGTGCCGGAAAACGACGTGGTGAGACTACTTCCAACGATGGAGAACCCAGAAAAACTCTGCTAATCAGTGGCTCATCACCAAATATTATACGCAGTATGGATCTACGCTTTGAAAAGTTCAACGAACTGCTTGCAAAGCAAATCCTTGAGTCCGAAAACAGAATTATGGAGGTTTTCTGTCGCAAATTTGAAGAAAAGTTAGAATCTTTTACGCGCGAGCTAACCAAATTAAATGATAGAGTTACCCGTTTGGAATCTACCTTTCATCGATTAGAATCCTTGAGGCAGAGGTAGCAACTTTAAAACAACATCTCTCCAAGCATGATAGCCTTATGGCTGCCTGTGATGCTAGACTACTAGGGATCCCACTCGAAGAAGGTGAAAACTTGCAGAGTATATTTCATCATCTATGTTTTTCCTTGAATTTAAAACCACCTCCATTAAGGGGTATTTTCCGAGCACGAAAACCTCGGAATACTCCGGTTGACGCTGCGATTATAGTCAAGTTTCAAGCACCTGCGGATAGAAACAATTTTCTAAAAACTGTGGCGAATTATAAACGATCTAACAACAGTGGGCTACGGCTTACTCATGCAGGCATACAATCCAAAGCCCCTGTCTTCATTAACGAGTCGCTAACAAAGCATAATTACCAGATTTCCAAGTCAGCCCTTAATCTAAAAAAACGGAAAACAGTTGCATCTGTGTTCACCAGAGGATGCTTAGTTCACATTAGGCAACAGAAAAACAACAGTCCGCTCGCAATATACACCCTGGATATACTCAATGAACTGGAGCACACTAGTCCACCTGGTATCCACTCCTTTAGCGACGGGAATATACACCAAAACAGCGATGATCCACAAGATGTATGATTACTACTACTGCCATTATGGTTCTTTTTATCTCTTCCTTTACTGCGTTACTTACTCTATTTCCACATATTTCTGGTTAAATTTACTATTAGTTTTTTTAAATTCCAACTGCAGTGCATTTAAAATATTGTATATTGACTTTGGACTATAAGCATGCGAGTTCCAAAGGCTGTCTTAACACCATGTTGCGTATTTTAAGCAAACGAGCGGTTGGGTTGAAGATAATTCACCTCAATGCGCAAAGCTTGTACAAAAAGCTTGATGAGTTTAAATATATTTTTGAGGATTCCGATATTGATATTCTTTGTGTTCTAACACAAAGTGTGTTGTGTGGTTCTAACCATTTCACAGTAATGATTTGATAAAAGTGAAAGGATACCAACTGTTCAGAGCTGATAGAAGTGGTCATGGTGGTGGTGTCGCAATATATGTTAAAAATTGTTCATTGATATCTTTTCAGGTGAAAACAAGCTCCTGGTCGGCTGTGTATACAGACCCAATCGTCATATTAACTTCTCCAATTTTACCGAATTTCTTCAACCGTTACTCGACAACTACAACAACGCGGTGGTAGCGGGTGATTTCAACAGCAACCTTATTGTCGATTGCAGCTTAAAACTTAGCATGGAGTCTCTAGGTCTTTTCCCACTAACACCTACTTACCAACACATTTTACTAACACCAACAGCACTTTGCTTGACATATTTTTTGTGAATGACCTTAGTAAATCCCTCCACTGTAGCCAACTGTCTGCACCTAACTTTTCGAAACACGACTTGATTTTCTTGATTT